CGACGAATATTTAAACTGAAATAAATTGTGACGATACCGGTTGATTGATTAATTTTTTTCCGAAATACATCAGGATAAGCCATATTTCTCCCAGAACTGACATTTTCTTATATTTAAGAATAGATGTAGTAATATTTAAACACGTATAAAACATAAAATAAAAAAAAGGTGTGTGTTAGCAATAGCCTTTTTCAGTTTGGGCACACACCACCATGTTAGTTGTTAGAAGGTATAGATATAGGTTGAAATATTAAAACACTTCAGTAGATGCAGCAATGTCACTGTTATCACTTAGACAATATAATGTTTCAACATTCAGGCAAACATTTGTATAAGTAGTTTACATAGTCGGGAAATATTATTGCAGGAAACATTTTCACACGAAGACTACATACACCGGGTAGTGTGACCAGGAATTATCTTAAAATGGGTGATCATACCTGTGTATCCTATACAGTGGGTATGGATGTACACATTGTTTTGCCAAATTAGACATTGACAGTCAATATAGCGGATGTTTTGTTTCACTAGCGAATCCTTTGACCATTGACAACTGACCTGCTCCATATGCAATCTTCAGTAAACTGAAAATGGCTTTTAGACAAAGACATATGTGTTTGTTTCAGTTCAATTGATAATTTACGGAATATATCTAACTCGAAAATATAATCTTTTTCATGCATAAATATCTATAATTAGGAAATGAAATGCCTCTAAAAATGTTAAGTTGCATAGTTATCTTTCTGAAAGAGAATTAAATGATTTAATTGTACTCAGTACAAATGTATATTTGATTTGCTATATGGGACGTGTCATTATGACCTGTCTTAAGACTCACTTTTTGTTTCATTCATGGTTTGCGGTTTAGATACTAAAGTCTAATTCGCATCACCTACTGAAGAATACGTCATTTTAATTTGGCATGGGCTATTTTCTAGTCTTCATGCTATCCTAAAACTCGTCGCTGTAATCTAAAGAAGAAGGCTCTGGACCCGTGTCTGTACTCCTGTGTGGGGTTTTATTCAGTTGTGCACTTATTGTATTTGGAGAGAAAATCTTTGGTGCTATTCTCTATTTATGATTTTAATGACAGCACAACACGAGTATTTTGTGTTTACATATTTCCGTTTCTGTCAACAGTCAATGTTAGGAAGGAAACATTTAATAAATAAGTTCAAACTAGTCACTATTGATGTAGCTTCCTGTGCTTAATTCATGTCAATATTGCTGGTGTTTTTATTGTTTTAAAACTCGGGGATATATGTTTACTATGTCAACGATAACTAGCGTGAAATAAGGTACCGATGATTGCCATAGTTTATTAAATATATTTCGAAAATGTACATCAGTATACAATATTTTTCTTTAATTAGCGGGATCCGTGTTTAGATAAAATATATTTAATTGAAAGTACTGCTCCAACCATTTCATCAGAATTGATATTAATATTTAGGAATATATTATGAATTCGATTTATTCATATGCTAGGGGGAGTCTGCTTGATGCTGTTCATCATCAACATGGCGGTTTACTTCTTGCCGTGCATTCCAAAATAATTTTATCGTCAACCTATATGATAAAGAATATATTGCATTGTACTAGATTAGGGCCAAAATGATAAATTCAGAAAGGAATTGGATAAAAGAATATTGCTAGTAAAGCACACTTTCAAAATGCGAAAAGACGAGAAAGGACATTTTAAAAAACCTCATTCCTATATTCTTAGAAACTTGAGTAAATCTACTATGAAACAGTTTCCAATTCCCTTTTCATATTTCTTTTTATTTTGATGTTTCTTGCCCCGAGTTTCCTTGGTACCGAAGTGCCATTAATCTGCGTCCATGTCGGTCCCTGGTCACCAGTGTTGTAGGGCTCAGAACGTAACCTCAATGGGGGCTCAAAAACGAACAAAATAAAGTGGGTGTCACTGTTTGAAACTCGAGCCTCGAGGGGGATTTCAATCTCTATCTGTCTCCGTCCCAAACTTTGTCCACCACCCTCTCATTCTCCCCGCACCCCTGGGGCAGGTTTGCTCATTTGTCAACTGTAATCTCACAATGACAAAGTCCTCTGTCCACGGTGCTATGACGCAAACATACGACAAAGCTCATTAAACTATTGGCGCAAAGCTTCATTCAAATCTTAAGTTATTTGCTTTCAAGTTCCCCAAAAGCTCACTTGAACCGTACGTGAATTTATCTCGCGCCGTTCCGCTTCTTCTCCCATATCTGACTATGGACGCACATAAAGATTCATATAAACTGCAAATTTATTACATAGTATGTGTGTTTGGTTGATTATAAAGAAGAGTTAGTGTAGCAATTTCTTTTAACGACTGAACATATATTTGACATTGTTCCCTAACACTACCAACATTATCACAGCACCCCTTACGGGGGACTGAGGGACGGGAAGTTTTTGCCAGCTGAGATACAGATTACTTTGTTTTATCAGCAACATAATGTTGTACGTATTTTGTTATCGAATGTTTCTTCAATCTTTGTCTCCAAGTGTTCTTTAAATCTATCACAGACATGTGATGGAGGCATACATGAAATATGCCAAAGTTTATTATACTTTGACTGTCTGGTTTTAAATATAATATATAACAGGGATATAAATTCCTGAAATTCGTTGAGCCTGTTCTGGTAAAATGTCCATTTCCCTGCGCTATGAAGTACACTGAAGATATATTTGCCGAAGACGTTGTTGTTAACTTCGAAAGTGCTTTGTAACCAATAATACACTGGTATTCAAACCACCATTAAAAGAAAATGCAAAATAAAATAAAAAGAGTGAATCATTTAGTAATTCCTTCAATACAACAATTACTATAAAGTTGATGTTCCAAATATGAACGATATACTTAGCAGCGATGTAAACATATTTTCTATATTTCCTTGTTTTATTTATTCATTTTTTAACATAAACTACCCAGTGATTGCTACACTAAACATAAGAATAAGATTCTCTGTTGCTTGTGTACTATATCAAGCTAAACTGTTTGTGGGGTGTATGCACCCAGTAGACTGACCATTCCACTTGCAGGAAGCGTCCGTCTTGGCAACCATGGCATTATCAACATGATGACATTACTTATGTAGGCATAATCCTTAACAAATTGTTGTTACAAGGAAACAGCAGTTTAATACTTCCTTTTTCCCCCTGCGAACAATTAAAACTGACTCATCTATACGTTACGAGACCGGGAAAGTAGAGTTCTCTATCCTACGGCAAATCAAACCGATGTTACCTCAATTTCTCATATTTATCACAATGCAATACAACCCTGGTGTTGGTATTTAGCCTATTCTTTTGCAACAAATACAATCCAAGAGATATATTTAGTTAAGCAACACGATACCCACATGATTAAACCGCCTATTCATAAATCTCGCCCCTGGTTTACAGACAGTGGTTCCTGGAGGTAGGGCTAGTTAACGCTCCCCTGAGAACAAAGACAGTGGTATGTGCCATTCGTATATTTCACTATATCACATTGTATCGTGCCCAAACCGTGTAATTTACTTAAGAAGATTTATTTATATATAAATAGCTACAACGCCGCGGATAGCACACCGCGGCTATGGTGAACGAAAGGAACATGGAACACATGGATAATGAACAGACTTATCGCCCGTAACATGGGTTTCGGCGCCACATATTATTTCAATATCACTTTCACATCACATCTAATATAAATACTGTGCTAAAATAGTATCCATTTCTTTAAGGGTTGAGTATACATTATGCTTAGGACGAATTGTTGTTATTATTCATTGTTATTGTTATCTGTGATTATATTTAACATGGAAACAAATATTATCCTTATGATCGTTCCAAGCGTTAAAATTTCCTACATCTGTATGTGAAACTTGTACTGGAAATAACATTGACAATTATATTTGGTTGCAATATTCACTGTTTTGAAGAAAAAGGTAGTCCTTTCCATCTCTTTCAACCGCAGGCCACTAGGAGACACATTTTTTAAAAAAGTATGCATCAAAGGGTACCTAATTTTAAATTCATATTTCCTTGTTGTCATCAAATTAAAACGATATAAATTTTGATATAACTCCAAATTAAGTTTTTATCAAAGATCCATGATAATTGCTTTATGTAAACAAACAAAGGAAGTGCGTTCATTTTTCATTAAATTTCAATAGGCAAAAGTCACAGTCTGCTGGAATGAGTGACTCTCAATATTCGGTCTACTGCCTCTGTTGTGGTTAGAACATTAAACTGTCTATAGACCATACACTACCATGGCGAAACGTCTATCTTCCATAGAAAATCAGTAAAACATGCCTTAAAATCTATAAAACTGGCGTCGTCCCTGTATTTCTTATTGTAGACTGATTTAATCGGAGTGTCTCTCGCAGTTGAGGTTATATATTAGCCGACTGCGTGTAATGAACTTTGTCCTTTTTAATGCTTCTCTTAAATTTGTACTAGAATATTTTGAAAGAAGAAGTCATCAAGGAAATGCTTCTCGAGTTTAATGTTTTCTACTTCCTTTCCCAAAATATGATTGACAATATTTGATGGTAAATTTATCATAATTGAACAAGCACAGTAACCGTAAGATTGACATAGTTGTATCAGTCAGTGGAAGATTACATTACAATGCCGAAGTGCCTGGTAGCTTGTAAACAAATAACGTTACTATATACGATACTGCTATACGACACACTATCATCACTAATTCAAACTGATTGCCATAATTACTTAAAATATTAGACCCCATATATTGATTATAATTAAGTGTCATATCTAACCATTTCTAAAATATTTATTTATGCACTAGCCAATGTTGAAATACACAACTATATAAAATATTATCTTGTTAACAGATGAGCACGTTTAGTTTGTCAAACAGGAAAATACTAAACTGTGTATCAATATTATACCATGACATAACAGTGCGTGAAAACAAACGCCTATTCCGATCAAAAAGGAATAGATACAAACATAAGGAAATACCGTGTTTGGATTCTTACCTGCATGGTACGTGCATAAACAAGGGTCCGTCCATCTGGGTGTCTGTTATTATGACCAGTTGGTGCCGTGTAGTCAGTCTGACAACATTACAGGGCTTCGAGCAGGGGTTATCTATCGCGGGTACAGAATTGCTGTGTGTATGCCTCACTGTCAACACCGTGACTTATCCACAAACTAACACAATGTTAAAACACATTCTGTCCAATAGGAAGTCAGATTGAAATCACGTGACTCGAAACAGAGGCTGCACGCGCTACTGACCCCGGAATGGGCGGGACGATATCCTGAATACGTCAATCAATGTTACTGAGTCCTTAATGACAACATTTGGTCATGCTTGGGCAGCCAGTAAATATTTGGTTGCCGGACTAAGAGTTTTGATATGGAAATCAACTTCATAATTTACCGATATGATTGTGTTCACGATTAGTCTGTGAGAGGGACATGGGTGTAAAGACGATTGTTAATTTCACTCAGAGATTAGGACGAAGCGTTCAGTTCGTTGACTGTTTTTCTTCCTTCCCTAAAAATCGAAGATCGCACGTGTTGAGATCAGGGCTTCGAACAACTGCCAACATATTTTAAGACGACGATTGAATTGGGATTTATTCGAGATAATAAAATCACGGTGTGTTTTTCTAAACTGTTCACGGGGTTTCGGAATCAGTATGTCAGTCCGTGTTGCCCAGAGTTTGTTAATGTGTCACATTGAATTTCTTTTTCCCCAACTGTTGAGAACAGGTACGGATTGTCTGTGTTTTTATGCTATATTTATTTAGTGTGCCTCATCAGTAAATGAAAACACCAACGTCGAATGTTGAAATCAGCTACAGCAAATCATATGAGGAAATAAAAAACTACGGTTATTCGATTCAACCCGATAGGAAATATAGTTACAAAGAACTTCCCATTAGAAATTAAGAAAATAGAAATTTCTAATTAACATAAATACTCATTAAAATTGTACTAAAATTTATTTACCATTTAAACGGAAATGACATTAATTTCCGTATGGCCCAGCGTGCTTAAATACAGGACCGAGGGTCATTACTGACTTGAAGGAACTAAGTATGTATCTGTCTTCTCTTTGAATGTTGTGTCTTTGTTTAACACTTCAGGTACATCGTCGTCGTGAAGACGTGGTTGAGATGTTTGAGGTGATGCAAATGTCATCCTCCCAACCACCACATGATATTTCCCTGTCAGGAAAAACTCCAGCAAATACATTCATCAGTCTCTCCCCTGCTTTCGATTTAACATGAATTAATCATTGTAAATGGTGAATGGATGGACGAAAAGGTTCATATGTCTGTCTTTGTAAGACAGAACATCTGTGGATAATTTTCCATCATTGAATTAATTAAAATAGAAGTAGTTTATTCTCAATGAAAATCATAGCAATTTGCGCTTCTGTTTGGAGGTTGGCTAAATTGAATAATAGAGAGAAAATTAATTATACTTTAGGTAGCCTTATATGTTAAACTGATAAAAGCAAAACATTTTTACTGTAATTTCTAAGCATATATATTATTTTGAATTTCTGACGGAAAAATACCTAAATAAATACAGGTTAACAATGTTTGTCTACCAAAATGTACGATAAACACCAAACAATCACAGTGCTCATTAACAGTACTATTAATAATATTGGCATTTAGTTTAATGGCAATGCATTCACATGTGAAAACAAGTTTTCCTTGGGATTCAAACAGTAGTCTCAATATTGATTCTAAGCTGCTCACCCCTTCAACAAGTAATTGAGGTTTCCCCACTTCATGACTGCTGGTGTGTTGGCTGCCTCCGAGCCATGGAGAGATCATGTTGAGAAATGTGTGTTTTACATCTGATTTCTGACGCATTAAGTCAGCCTGGCCTACTTTCTTTAAACAGGCACAGAGAAAAAAATATGAAAAATACATTTCAGAATTTTATGGTGCATAAAGAAGAAAAATGTATCACGCAGAAATTCTGCAAGTTTTTACACCTCAATGAAACGACATATAGACGTTTCTAATGTACAGTTTTCGCGAAATAATGGCTATATGAACTTACTTTAACCATTATCATATCTGGGCAATACAAAGTACATTCATCAAGAATGGATTGAATTCAGGTATAATGATAGTCAAGCACGATTGTGGGGGATTAGTGTATATTTGATAGCGTTCTCTCCGACCCAGCTCCTTGTATATTTGTCTCTGCTGATGGGGTGAAGACAACACATACTACACCGTGTGCAGCGGCACACACTCAGGCGTTGAGTCCGACTACACACCCGACAGCGCTTGGTGCAAAACCATTACAGTTGCATTAATGAAGATGACAATGATCACTTTAGGTTTAAAGTAAATTGTTTAATTTAAATCAAGGATGAACTCAGTACAAGTTAAGATTACAATCTGTTACATGGCTTGAAATGACATAAAATACTTTTTCCCCCAAATTATTCTCTCATAAATACATACATATATTTTTCATGTTTATGTGGTATTGGGAAATATGTATTTTTCATTATACGAAAAATGTATATTACGTATGATAAAAATGTATATTTCTTATGATAAATGTGTATATTTCATATGATAAAAATGTATATTTCATGTTGGAAATATGCATTTTTCATTCAATAGATATCAAGATTTTTGTTGCAAAACGTGCCCAAATACAGATATTACTTTTGTTTAAACCCAGTATGTTATTGAATGCTATCATAACAATGGCCATTTCACAACTTATCTAAGGATAAAAGCTGCTCGGCAAAGAACACGCTTTTCATGACAGTACTTGGGTTTTTTCAGCAAAACAGTCATTCCGATTCCCAGCAGTTTTGGTCACGCTGTATGAAAAGGACAATCGGGGGTCCATCAATTGCTATGCTTGGTTGACAATAAATAAAGCCTAGCAAACATTTTAGTGTCGGACAAAGCATTAAGCTCGAAGTCCTCACAAAACCGCTGATGCCTAACCTGTAATATACACGCCGCCCATTGTCCATACCAATTGCTTTTTTCACCTAAGTTGCAAACAAACTGATTAACTAGGGGTTATAAGTGATAGGGGTATTTAATCGAGAGTGACCAACGAGTGACCAGCGAGTTCTACATGATAAGTACCCCCTCCAGCAGTCTGGCGCTAGGTCCCTCCTCTCGTTGAAAAAACGATTGAAGTTTCTGTGGTGTATTTGCTTAGACACTCAAGGCAATGTAGGTTAACAGGGATCAAATCTGGTTACGGTAATTAATAGGTGCAAGATGACCGCACCTACAGTCAGAGAAATCCTGTGAAGATGGTAAACTGTTTTCCCACTAGCTATACAGAGCCGTGTGTAATCAGACAGATTAAGGTAAATGTTAATCCAGCGTTCAATAACTAGCTGACAATAGACATGTTGATATATTCAATCAGCCGTCAACCCGTTATCTAAATCGGTCTGATTTCGTCACCGTGGGAGCGAATTGCTCACCCCGTGTTGTGTTAAACCACTTATACTTGTTAGCGAAGTAGCGCCCTCCAATTTAGGTTTACCTTTCACTGATCGTTGACTTAACACGGATAAACACCTGCTGGATAAAACACTGAAACGTAATAAAATCATTTTAAAAAATGACACATATTGCAAGAAAAGCGACGTTTAGGGACGTATTGTATGGTAAAATATAGTCTTCTTACAAAGTTTATTGTAAATTATTGTTCGGTGTTTGAATGGCATTTAGAAGTGATACACAAAAGGAGGAGAATGTTCGGATGTCAACTTCTTTATTATAAGGAAAACAACGTTTCAGAGTCTATCATTACTTCTTCATCAGGCGAAGATAATTATTACGGCTTATTTCCATGTGCTTAATGTGAATATACTGCTACTAAATTGCCAGGCAAAATAAACAAAAAACTTGAGAGAAAAAAATAATACATGCGTTATCAATGCATTACTGGGCCGAAAACGTCGAAACATTGAAAACATATTTCCCAAAACACAACTGTGATCTCCGGACCAAATACATTTTGTTGGCTCCATTTTGTCCACCATCAAAGAGGATTGAATAATTTGTGTGCACGTCATTGTATCTGTAACTTGATTGGGATTTGAATCTTCATCGAGTGACTGCCAAAGTGTTAGCAGAACGTAATTCCTATAACGTAAAACGTCATATTAAATAATAGCTATACTTACATTTCAGGTGATATTATTCAAGCGAGTGCGAATATATATCTCGAAACAGTTTGCTTTTAGCCTTGTTTCTTGGAGAATCTTGTGATCAAAAACTCAAGTTCAAGTTAATTTTGCACAAACCCTAGTGAACCCCTCATGGAGGAGGATGGTACTTCCACTCACAGGATGGGCTACAGGGGCTTCTGTTGACGTGCGTCTTGTTTCTGTAAAATGACTTTAAAATAATTAAATAATTTTACAAAATATTTGATGATATTTTGTTTTCTTTGATAGATACATTTCTAGGTCTCCCACATTCTGGATACCCTCTTGAGGTCAATACTACCAAACAACAACGAAATCAGCAGTGACGGTAACAGCAGCAACATCATCACCAAGAACAACTGACAGGAACAACTCCCTGTATAGAAACATGAGTTTCAGCATCAAATCTATTGTATTATTACCTTGTCTTGTGACCAACTGACGTCTCTAGTATGGAACCATTTCAGTCCCTGTAGGCCTCCGTTACATCGTGTTGTACCTCGTTATAACCTTATTCTATTTATTTACTGTTTGATAATTGGGGGAATTGGAGTGATTTATCATAAGTCTCACGAAATGAAAACTATGAAATACACAATGAACAACTTTGTTTAAATTTAAATTGATTAAATATATATAAGAGTTCATAATAAACGGGAAAACGGAAGAATGTATCGTTGTTTGACGGTGACTAAACGTGAATGTGTATGTGTGTGTGTTGGCGTGTGTGCTTTGGTGTGTATGTTTGGGCTTGCGTGTGTGTATGTGTGGGTGTGACTTTACTGTCAATGTTTTTATATAACTGTGATATTTGTGTCATAGGCCATATGGCCCGGATGCCTTTTTTAAACCCCCGGACAAATGGCATGTCTTTTATTGTAATTCAGTATGTGACACAGGAATAAACTATGTTTCTTCTTCTTTTTCTCAATAATATGAAGCAAGCAAGAAATGGTTATTCGATTGTGATGT